CTCAGATATGTGTTGCATTCACTTCCGCCACGCAGTCCGTGCTTGACGTCCTTCAGCGCTGAAAAATGAACCGACTGCTGCTCGCACCACATTTTATGTTGGATGATCGTGGGTGTACTTTTTCACTAATTCTAGATCATCTTTCCTTATCATGTAGGACGGTAATCTCAAACCTACTTCAAAATTTGCGGAACGATTTTTTGAACGAAGTCATGGAAAGCTTTATCCTTGCGTAGTTGTTTTACATACTATCGCGAGGAAACGTGTAAGCGTCCTTATACAGGGGGGGGGGCAAAAAAAGTCACTTCGACCGAGTCACATATCAGCAAAGTTTTCGCTGCCCAGACAGAGGACGTGGATACGAGTACCAGGGCGGAAGATACCCAAGATGTTCCTCGATAAGCAGGAGCTGGCTCTCGCCCATCACCTTCATGTACACCAAAATATGAAGTCATCTCCAGTCGCAGCCTGACTGGAGAAGACCTTTGGAATTCATGTCACCTCCAAACAGCTGCGAAACTTCTAGTATGGAGTCACCCATGGATAGCTACCTGGAGACCAGTACTCTCGATCTGGATGACCTCCAACATCGAGCAGCTCCGACAACGTCGCCGGTCTAGGACATCATCTTCACCGCAGTCGCCAAGGCGCGGGTTGATGGTATGGACCGGACGTACCTGGAATGGAAAGACCGATATTTTCTTCGTGGACCCCGGACTGAAGGTGAGCGCTGGCGGTTACATCGAGCAACTCGAGAAGAATATCCTCCCCACATGTCGTCGCCCGTACCTTCTTGGAAACTTTGTACTGCTACAGCATTGGGTGCCACCACATGGAATCGAAGGGCGTTGGAGAAACTCTCGCCTACTTGGAATGGAAGGGGGCTGAGTACCTAAAGAAGATGGAATATCCAAGTAGGTCACCTGACCTGAATCCCCTCAATTACCCGGTTCGGGCGGAGTTCAATAGGGTGGTCTACGGTGGCGGAGAAATCGACTATCTCGCTGATCTCAGGCACCACATCGCGGTCGCGTGCCAGAATCTCTCGATGGCGCTCGTCCAGAAGGCTGTGGCGGAGTGTCATGATAGTTAATATGCTCTTTAATATGGTAATTTAATATGCTCTTTAATATGGTGGTAAAATGTCCGATCAGAATTTGATAAAGTTTAACTTATAGCGCCTCGAAAGTCAATGAAAGTGACTTTTTTGGCCCTCCCTGTATATAGTAGGATGGAAGTGTTTTAGTAATTGTAAAGTTTCAAGAGCATGGAGAGTGTGAATATACAAGAAACCGCATGAAAGAGCATGAAAATACTCAAAAATACAATGACAGGCCTCGGAAAATAGGCATACTTAATATTTTCATTTTGAAATGACAACGTCAAACTGCGCACCCTGCATTTGAAATGCTACTTTTCATTTCCTCGTGTCGACCATTTAACTCTCTGTAGAAAGTTTATATTCTTCTGTTCTTTGTCCATAGACTGTAGACTGGCATATTTTCTTATGAAGCGAGCTCGTTTGCAGAATATCTGTTCATTTCAGATGCCTGTTGTAATGATTCCCATCCACTTCGATCGCCCACCTATCGAAATCAACTCCTACAAGCGATCTTTCGTATTACGGCCATTTATTACCTCTGATTTCATGACCGGTATAGCAGCACTGCCAGGAAGGGATATTCCAGAAAAAGTATGTTTTTGCTTTTGTTTATTTTATGCATTTGAAGTATCATTCAACTCTCGCGATAGCTTTGTGGCTGTCGAGCACCAGAGAGATGCTTAGTCACCCTTCTGCAGCCTTTACATTCGACTGATCGATACAGCTGGCGTTGGTGCAATTTTTCCTCGGTTCCTGCTAACCTCTTCGATTGCTGTTTTTTCCCTACAAGCGGTGCCCCTCCTGTTTCAGCTATCTTCTTCGGTGGAATTTTCCATGACCTGTCTCGACACGTACGCAACCGCTTTCGCCAATAATAAGCAGTTCTCGTCTTACATTAGTGATCCCAACGAGGGCGTTTTTGTTGGAATCGCGGGGGATGTTCGTCCAGCTGATGCTGGTTGAACGTTGGGCTTGAAACCCAAGTTCCCGAACAGTCCCACGTATTCCGCGGTTTCGTGAACAGCCGTGGGTGCTATATAACTGTCACTGGATAGTTTCAATTACATAACAGATCACTCTTCGTAATTAACCTTTTATCAAACAATATATGTACAAATTCCTGGATGGCGAAGCCAACCAGAGCATAAAATGAGCCAGAATCTACGCCACTAGATTCAGACACTCAACCAAGCAAAGGAAAGGGTATTACCCACAAATCCTGCCATCTAGGATGTTGGACAACTCTTTACACCCAAGACGTCCAACCATCCTCTACCTTTTGTCAAACCAAAAGGGAACGACCATTGCGCTGAACACGCCTAGGCCAACGTGCATCTGTAGGCGTATCTTACGCACTACTGCACCTCTACTTTCCACACAGGGAAAGATCCATTCTTCACCGAGTGAAGAGAATGAAGCTCGCATCGTCGCGACACTTCCCTTGAGCCAGGGGGAGCCCTCTACCACGTAGAGTCCATCTCCAAGTCGTCCACGACGACGTTGGGAAACTCCCCTCCCGATTCCGGGAGAGACCGATCTGCTCACCTTCCGTGAGCTCGGCAAAACTCCAGACTGACTGATCAGCTCGATCAGCCAACGGATCGACAGTAGATGGGGGCGTGGCCACAGTGTATGGTCTCGTGAGAGAACCACAAGTACCTAAGGATACACCTAGGGATATCACCAGATGCATCCACTTTTACGACCTGTCCTTAGGTACTTACATCATTGCCACGGCCCCATCTCAATCCGAGATGTTACACATAAGTTATCCGAACTTAAAAGATTGGAAACTGAGTTCCAATTACCCATATACAACATTTTATTTCGTCGCTAGGGAAGGGGGTCTATCCGTGAGGAGCGTTATTGTTCGCTGATTTTTTATCTGTTTTTACTGTCTAGAATGCGATATGCCCTACCTTACTCTTTTACTCGACCCTTTTGATGAGTTGAGAAAACCTAGAAAGATGGTGGGGGACAGGCGATGGGAGGATGGGTTGGTGGGTGTCATATTTCGCATAAATTTTCTTCAATGGCAATAATGTCCTCGCGCGACTTTTCCCTGCGTACCTGAAACTTTTACCAAAATCATTAAGACTATTTCAAATAATGATCGTAATACCTTTACTTTCATTCTTTCTTCTAATTAGTTTTTCTGGATAGGTTACCACTGGAACTGCTTTGTTTTGCACTAACAGCTACCTTTCGCAGAACATTTTGGAAATGGTTCGGCGAATTGTAACACATGTCAAGGGGACTTCACGAGTGATGATTGATCTGACAAGTAAACCTCCGGGCACAACGGAATGGGAATGAGTAAGATCTCTGATTCTTAAATCTATCACGATGAGTTAATGGTGCTATCTGGATCATATCTCCCATTCGGCAGTACTGAATTCATTGTGAGCGATATCACTTCTACGAGCTGTTGCCGTTAGTCTTATCAGTCGATGTTTCGCTGTTAGAAATAACGAATGTACATACTCAGGTCGCAATACATTTACTATTGTGAGGGGTTACTTAGAGCAATCATTATTAGTTTACTATAGTACGTTGTTATTCGAACTTTGTGGATGTTTGTTGAATTGTTGACCGTCTCGCACAAAAAGTCTGGCTCAATGTAGCATTTGTGTTCTTAATCACGCAGTAATTCACCCAGGCTACACATACTTTCTCAATGTGCGCGTGAAAACGCGAAATGAACCGACAACCGGTGCATACGTCCTGAAGAAGGATCGAACTTCTTCTGAAAGGTTGCTGTTAGTCGATATCATCTTACTTTATAGAAAAAAAGCGCAGTGATTTTGAAACCATGAATGCTTTTTCTAGTTTGGAGGGGTAGTGGGCATCCCCAAGCGTTTTCGTGCCTTGCAGGGTTAGACATTTGATGGAAAGGTGCATAGAACGTAAGGTAAACCCTGCAACGAGCTCTTTCACGGCTCGCTCTCGGGTTTATCATGCTTTGGCCCTTATGTCAATCGAAATTGGGTATCTACGAGGTCCACGTGGTGGAAGAAGCGTGTTCAAGTAAGATAAGATGAGCAGATAAGAGCAGGAAGCGGTGTGGTGTAGAGCAGGAAGCAGGTTTAAGCAGACGGTAGATCGGATGCGCGTGCATTGCAGAGGCAAACGAGGCTAAGAATCGGCAGCTTTCATTTAGCTGGTACCACGGGGATGACATTGGGCATCATTGCTCATAGCATTAAGAGGCTGCTAACCGTGGTTAGATTGGAGTTAGGTGGCTACGCTTTGAGAATAGGGCGGTCACAACGTTTCTGGTCGTCTGCGCTCTTTCTCGCACCTTTTCATGCAGTCCTCTCTTCTTTAACCCCTGGCTCGCACCTGGAAGAGTGCGGACGACTGCAGTTAAGTGTCGCCGCGTAGCTTCCGCCCAGGCTACGTTCATTCTTGGCGCCAGCGTCCACCAGCGTTTGCCAGCGCGCACCAGCATCCAGGAATGGAGAGTATGGGGAACCAGGAGGTTAATAGACTGTTAGATTAGGCGTCGTGATGTTGTTCTTTGTGCAACCGCAACCTACAACCGCTAAAGCGCAGATTATGCAATGGTGTAGTGCGGTGTACGGTCCAATTATCAGACAATGCAGATGGCGCAATTTGAGGACGCCCAATCCAGCTGTCTGCTACCCTCCTACTTCCCTATTCTACCCACCCCTGGACGCTGCTGTACGCTGGCAAACGCTGATAGACGCTGCCGCAAAGTTTAAACGCAGCCTCAGCTTCCCTTCGAATCCATACCTCGGCGAAACGAACACTCCCCCGAAGCCTCTCACATATCATCCAGTAATGGTGTGGCCTGCATTTGGAGGCAATGTTCTACTAATTCAAGCACTCCGCAATAACATGTCATGTCTACTGGAGCCGCTTGACCTTTTCACCCAGGATCGGTTTTCCTTGGAGGTGTAAAGGTTCTCTGATTGACCCCTTCCCCCCCCCCCCTCCATATTTATTTCAATCACGTGTTGTTTCGTCATATGCACATTCTCAACGATGTGGGTTAGGTCATATTGTGAATTAATGTGGATTTGCATTACTATTATTGAATCATTATCATCACATTATCTTTGAAGACTCGTTAACGTTGTGTTTTTTATTGTAAACATTGATATTGCGGTTGTACTCTACGTTTTTTTTTGTTTTTATTCTCTGTTTTTTCCATTTTCTACAAACTTGCCACTACTGTTCATGTTAGGAAGAGTTGGCCCTGTGGATTGTTGCGAAAGAGGAGTTCACATAATAGATATAAAACCGCATACAGACTTCGCGACAGCGCGATTGGATTGCGAGATCAAATTGCGCGATCGCGAAGTCTGAACGTGCTCTAAGCTATGATATTGAGTTATGTAGGTTCCTCCACTTCGTTGTTGTATTCTCCTTTTTGAGTGGTAGAAAGAAGTCCATAAGTTTCACGAAATGGAGTGGCATCGTAACTTTCATAGATAGTCATGTTATTTCTTCTATAGTTGAAATCGTCTTGGTGAGAAGTTGTTGATTAGTTATCGCTACATTTTCCGGTCTTGCATTGCCATCTGGCAAGTGCTGTGAAACATATACTGCTATCGACTACTGCAGACAATAAGATAAAGAGTTCCTTTTTTGTCCACGAATTCGTGTTTCACGTACTGATACGGTGTCATATACTTCTCGTTGTTCTCTTTACTTGCCCGTATTCTTGTTCCTTGGGATTTACCCATCTATCAACTTTACTTTGCTGAGGTTCATGTTCAAGTGGTTCGGGAGTGAAATAATAAATCGACTCTCGCCCAGGCCAAGCAAGCCATCTGCATTAGGCAACGGTAAATTGGTACCAGATTTGTCCGAGCGGGTAAAAGCGGAACTTGTTCGTCGGCTAGCACCCACGGGTCACTGTTCACACAACATCGCTTTCAGTAGGTGACTGCGATTCTGAAGGGAGGTAGAGCTTGTCGCGTACCAACAAGGTGTGGATCAACGATGGAAGTCCTCAAGATTGAGCAAAGTTCGAAATCATCAATGTTACGTATGGTAGATTAATTGTATCTCAAAACTACGAATCAGTTGTGTGTAAGGCTGCGTAGACCAGTAGTGACTACCGCAATTGTGTGCTGGCAATTCGCCCTTTATTTCTAAGCGGAGAGCATCGCTTCCGAGGCGCTGCATCGAGCGCTCTAGCAGGCTATTTACCTAGCTAGTCGAATGGACAGACACAGGCACAGAGGAGAACGGGAGAGAAAAACTCATCGGTGGCGCGCACGCGGTGCGTGCGTACTATGCCGCAGCGATGGCGCGGCGAGGGACTGGACACTACAGGCGCTGGGGTAGGAGGAAAATGGTACGATTGACTTCATTAATGACTTGTCGCACCTATGATTCTAGGCTTAATTAACGAGATACGAAGCGACCTTATTAAGCCGGTAGTAGACGCTGGCACCGCGGCTAACTGCGGTTGGCCTCGGTTAGAGGAGAAGTTATTGAGCTATCCAAATCGGCACGAATCCATTGAAAATCTCGGTAAAGTGGGTAAAAAGGTTGCTATATATTTCAGCTATTTATTAGTTTATTATTATTATTATTATTATTATTATTATTATTATTATTATTATTATTATTATTATTATTATTATTATTATTCAAATCGAAATGTATCATATATTAGGTTGGACGAAGAGTCCTGCGACATTCTGAACAAATTTTCGCACCAAATTTTCCTTCGCTAAAAGACATTTCCAATCTACAAGGTAATCACCATTATGACTAGGACTAGTGCTCACCTTTTGCACAGCTTCTCATTTCCACTTCTTATAGAACTACGGCAACTACGATAAAAGGAAGAGGTGGACCTCATTTTCGAGTGGACGTCGATTTTCGTAATTTTTTCTAAACGGTGCGGTAGGGATCAAAGGAGGTGGTAATTAGAGGCTGCTAGTTTTGATAAATAAGCTGGGTGCGGTCGCATTCTCTGATCGAGATCCATGATCTTTTGGCGTAGCCTGATCCCCACATGCGGTCTTCACATTGCCGAGTAGTAGAGAAAAATGACAGGTAGCGCTACCTTATCGTATTACTTTTTCGTAAGCCTCGACGGCAGTTCTCAACCAGTTGATGTCGATTTCTGGATAGCCTAATGTTAATCCTGAACATCTGGGATTTATCGTGCCACTTGTCTTCAAGAGGTCACGTAGTGCGAAGCGGTTAATACGGCAGTGAACAGAAAGCTCCTGAACGGGTGCAAGACCTCTCTGGTCTCCGTTAAAAGGTGACGCTTTCAGTTTTCTTAAGGTTTTGAAGGTCAGGGACTTGCATATCACGTCACGCGCTGCGGACACGTGACTGCCTCGCTGAACTTTTTCCGCTGGCTGTTCCGAAATAATTTCTGCTGTACGACTTCAACATTTTGGCTGCTGAATTACCCGATACATAGAGGAGTACACGTTCTGTTCATTTAAGGTTTTAATCAAAGACTGCATTTTGTTAGAGGACAAAACCTGCCGATAGGGCTCCATTTGTTCTTTACACATGTTCTTCGTTCTTTGATTCTGCGCCAATTTATTCGTTATCTGTCTGGATTCTTGCGAAACTTCAATGCTATCAATGCCACAGTCCGGTCCTACTTGTTATCAGACACCTTCTTTAAAAGCATCTCGAGATAAAATATTTGATTTTGTGGTTTGATAGTGTTTTCCAGCTACAGCTCAACTGATTTCCTCAGCGAATCTGAAGTGGCTGGCTGGAATCTCATCAGACCTAATCCTGAATGTTAACACGTTGACGACATTCTGAGCCACCGGTGGCTCATAACTTTCTCCATCACTTTTCGGGTTATTGCCGGCAGTCTCAATCGATCTTTTTCTTGCTTTCGAATAACCTGTGAAAGGTGAATGTCCAACAGGGATGAGCAAGAAAAATGTTGCCCCCATGGGATATTTTGAATTAAAAATTGAAATTTTTCAACTAGCTACTGCTGCGGCAGAAACCTCCAAAATAGTTCTTTTTGGACGAAACCTTGGCTGCAGGGACTGCGCGGGTCTTTGATCATGAACGTGAGATCTTATTTGTCGTTGGCGCCATATGGCGCCAGTAGGCGCCATTTCGGCGCTAGCAGTCTTTTTGGCACCGAATGCGATAGAAACCTCTATACCTAGGTTATTTTACATACTTGTCACGAATTATGGTCGCCTTTTAGTGCTGACGCCACTAGGTCGTTGTAACCAATGTAATGTGTGAAAAGCAAAAATTCCAAGAAAAGTCTTAGAAACTGAAGTTATGGCACACATTTTGGAAATCAGATCGCGCTAAATGGGCGTGATCGCAGAAGGCGG